CAATGTTCTTGCGTCTGAAATCGCTCATTTTGAACGATCGATTCATTTGTAATATTGATTATTACCATCATTGTCAATACTGTAATTCAAATATCATCAAAATTCTTTTATCGTATTTATACTGTTCATAAGCATTGGCGGACGTACAGCAGGTCGACCTCCTCGGGTGACAAGTGTGGATGGACATTAAGTGAAGCTTTCTTACAGCGATGTCATTCTCTGCAAAGCCCAAGAGCCACTCGAGGTAGAAGGTTACAAAATAAGAGGCAAAGCTTATGTGGATATGTGGGACAGATAACGGTTGACCCTAGACTTGTACAGGCTGAGATTGTGGGGATAATGGAATAAATGTTTTTTCCCCCGTTCCGTTTATGTCATTTTTACCAGCATTCAATTTATGGCGTAGTAATATACTGAACACTTTGGGGATGACATTAAGATTCAGTTAATGTCAAGGGATTTCTTTCATAATATCCGCATTGTTAATGCAAAAAGGTTTTATCCTAAAAATGAGATACTAAAATGTTTTTTTTTTAATTTGTTTATCCATGTTCTTATTTTTTTGTTGCATTTATCGTTATTACTATTTTGTTACTTTTTTCTCAGTACTTTAAATAATAAAAACAAAATAAATTACAGTAATTGTAATCTTTCTTTATATTTTGTAAATGTTGTAGATTTGCGAAAGATTTTACGGTCATCTGGAGCTTAAAAACGTTGCTGTTCAAAAACTTTAATTTGCAAAGTTCATTTAGTTTTGCAAACAAAATCAAAAGCGATTCAGAGGAATTCCTTCTTCTTTATATCCCTTAATTTTTCAGGACGTTGACGATCATGGCTCTCCACAATTTTCTGTCTTTAGTAGCTCTTAATAAATGCTGTTTTTTGTTAACTCTCCTAAACCTTTTTTTCTCCGTCTTCCTTTTACTCTAGCTCACTAAGTTATGATTTCTTTCCCTCTTTCGCACTTGTGTTCATTCTGTCTTCTGCGTGTCAGATTTTCCAATCATTCTTTCCTCATTATATGCACTAGAAATTTCAACTGTCTCTTCCTTATGTTAAGTATAGGTTTCCGTTTTGTATTCATTTTCTCTAAAACTTCGCCGTTGCTAACGTATTTGGTCCATGGTATCCTCAGCATCCTTCTATAGAAACACATTTCTGTTGTTTCAAGTCTCTTTTTCATCAGTGAGGAGATTGTCCAGCATTCGCTGCTATATAGGAGGATAGATATCACAGTACTCTTTTCTTTGTGTTTTTAAAATGCCTTTTCCCTTCAATATCTGTCTATATTTCTGAGATGAGGTATTATGTACATTATTTACATTATTCGGACTATTGTCCTCATCTTTGTCGCCATATCTCCTGAGCCGACCAAGCACAGAAATGAATAAAATATGGGAACCAGTAATAAGGGGTACCAGAGAAAAGCGATAATAACTACAATTGGTAAAAACATGGTGTGATAACAGCAAAAATTGCAATAGGAGCACTGGCAAAAAATGGTGCTGAAAACATTTGGTTTATAATATCCAGAAATTCATACACTGATGTCCTCAAGGGCACATGACATAGTGGATAAAGGCGTTGTTTAGATCCTGTGACAGGACCCAAAGGGTGTGAGTTCAATACATGGTTAAGGCGGCGGAGAACTTGGAAAGAGGAATTAATAGGATAACTGATAACTGACATCCATTAGACATGACACATGGAACTAGAAAAGAGTCAGCGAAATAAAGGGTTCAGTTCAACATTCCAACCCCGGAAGTAATAAATATGGCGACAAAGATGAGTCCGAATAATGTAAATAGTGTACATAATACCTTATCTCAGAACATAGACAGATACAGTAACATATTCGACATTCCAAGCACCCGAAGAAGGCCGGAGCGTACAACGGCCGAAACATTGTAATAAATATGGCGACAAAGATGAGGACAATAGTTCGAATAATGTAAATAGTGTACATAATACCTCATCTCAGAAATATAGACAGATACTGAGGGGCCGAAACGTTGTGATAAATATGGCAATAACGATGAGGACAATAGTCCGAATAATGTAAAAAACGTACATAATACCCCGTCTCAGAAATATAGACAGATACTGATGGGCCGAAACGTTGTAATAAATATGGTAATGAGGACAATAGTCCGAATAATGTAAATAGTGCCTCTTGACTCCAAACGTCCATGAATGCAAGAAAGGCATTTTATATAAATAATTCACCCAGACATAAATCATGCAACAATAAGTCACTTTAAAATCGTTTTCTGTTTGTATGGTGTCGGTTGTCAGAAGATGTTTTGTCATTTAAATGTGGCTGTTTCAATTAAAGTCTCTTCTTTTTGTTTTATGTCTGCTGTTCATTGACTGTTTTACCAATTATTTTCCCATCGGGCCGACATTATAACTGACGTCATTAAATAAAAAGAATATTAATCAAAGTAAGAGAGAAAACTAATTCTAAGAATTGCGAAAGTTAATATTTTCCCAAGGGTTGTAAAAAAACACTTTCCATGAAGTAGATTGTTTAGAGGGGGAAGCGTAACGGTCAGCGACGCCGAAAGTAGAATTGGCGAGATGAATTTAAATTTCGTCTTCATATTTTGTTTTGTTTTCGTACCTTTGTGAAAGGCACGAATCACTTTTCCTCCTCAAAATATGGGTTAAATAGTAGAGTAGATTAGACACTGTAGTTGTGCATGGTAACTAGTCTAACAGAAGAACTACTTTGAATTTAGAACCGCCAAGAAGCATAAAGGAGCCACTCCACTATGGTAATTCATAGATGAAAAGAAACTGTGGAGAGCCATGATTTACAACATTCTGAATAGATAGTAAATTATAAAAAGCAGATTAATTTTAGAAAATTAAGACAAAAATATTACCAATCAGCTTCCTGTATACAGGGTACAATGGATAAATTGTCGTCTAAATTACGTAAAAATAGAAATAACACTGACATCTCATTTTAACAGATATATTTATCAAAATCAACCAAAAATATCTTGAAATACTAAAAAGTAAATTTATTCAATAAAATCGTCATTGGCTCTAACCACGACCTTCAGGCGACTTTGGAATCTCCGGCAAATCTTCTGGAGAGTTTCCTTGTTTAAGTTGGTGAATGCCCCCATAATCCTTGCATTTAGTTCATCCTTAAACTTGGTCAACACATAATAACCAAGAGCCTTGCATTCAGGGTGGGTGGGGGGGATTAGGTGGTCAGATATAAGGGGTGATGTGGTCACGGAAATTGCCTGACAGACATGATTGGGTTCCCCTGCTTGTGTGACATGATGCAGAGTCCTGTTGCCAGACACAGTTTCTTCCACGAGCCACCATCTTGACCCAGGGCAGCATTACCCCCTCAAAGCATTGTCTGAGTCTGAGGCCCTCACCAACATATTCGGGAGTTCTTTTCTTATCAGAACAATCAGAGTGAGTTTTCCGAGCTGCTGTACCTTCGTAATCACCATTAGACTCATCCAAGTCTTTCCAAATACTCTGCACTCTCCTTAGATTGACACCCAAGCACTCTGAAATATTCGTGATGGGGCTTCCTGCATGAATGCTGAGCAGTACAGCATGCTGTTTCCAAATTTCTGGCGGTGTAAATTGCATCCTGGTGCTCTTATTCACACAGACGGCGCCCAACTGACCCTATGCTGTGCAGTCGAAAAAATAAAAACATACAAGGCGCATGCGCAAAATTAAAACTATAAAACGGCGACCATTTTCCCATCTCACCCTGTATAATGTTATAGAATGGGTTAGCCTACATATCCTATAAAATTATCTGATGACATGAACCGACTAGTGGTGGGTTGAACCCCTTGTGTGTTTTGCAATTCTGACATAGATACATTACTTTTGTTTAAGTTTTTGACATAAGAATAAAAATATATGAAGACACTCAGACGAATGTATGAATTAGAAAGGTCAAGATGCCTCCCACATCATTAGAAGGGTCAAGATGCCTCCCACAGCATTAGAAAGGTCAAGATGCCTCCCACACCATTAGAAGGGTCAAGATGCCTCCCACACCATTAGAAAGGTCAACATGCCTCTCACACCATTAGAAGGGTCAACATGCCCCACACTCCATTCTCACACCAGGATATCAGCACGTGGTGGTCATATTCTAGTCAAAGAGATGACATGTGTTTTCTCGGTCGCCTCCCAGTAGCTTCATCCTAGAAGCAATGCTTTCTACAACTACTGTTTCTCATAAAATAAAGAAATATATAAAAAAGGGAAAATTACCCGTCGTTGATACGGTGAATGTTGCAGTTTTGGGGTTCTGAAGCACTGGATATTGAGACAACACGTAAATCTCTATGACTGGATTTCCCTAAATTTAATAAAAAGGATTTTCTCAAGCAGAAAACAACCCAACACTATTGGCTTATGTGATGCAAACGACAAGCCTCCGTCTGATCTTCTCTTTTGTCTTTGATGTCCGCACTGTCACGTGTCTGATTCAAAGTTGATTTCTTGTTTTTCTAGCCTCATCCGGGGAATTGACGGATCGGTTTGTTTTGGGGTTACTAAAAGCAGAAATATATTTCGGATTGTATCTGTATCGGGTGTTTCCAAGATCTACTGAGCAGTATGCCATAAAGAAAATATCGAGTTTCACATTAGGGTAAGGCAGGCACGTGTAAATTGAACGAGGAAATAAACACGGATGATTGCATTTAATTAGGGATTATAACCCTTAATGTCTCAGAAATTGTAAACAATGGAGGCAGAGAACACGGAAAAGAGACAAACGAAGCATTTACAAATGCGGTGAGTACAAAATACTAGGTATCAACTCACGTTCTTTTATATGTCATGGTCATTTAGGAGCAGGTGGGAAAATGTTTGCAGTGTTTCTATTGAACGACTCGTTTGTAAACGTAAGTATTTTGTATGCTATCTTCAAAGAAAGAGAATATCAACCGCTGATGATTTTAAATTATAGCCTTAATTTCAGAAATGGGATGTTCCTCTTATTCGGACCCGCTTAGCTGACCAAGGCATAAATAAACAGGTTGATCGTCTGACCTCTTATCGTTAAATGCGAAGTAGATCAAATTAAGATATCTTTTTAAAAAGAGAGAGAGAGAGAGAGAGAGAGAGAGAGAGAGAGCGGGTGAGAAAGGGTGGAATAGACAGACGGGAGAAAGAGAGGGTGAGAATGGAAGAGAGATAGCAGGTGAGAATGGGAATGAGAGAGCAGAGAGAGAGAAAGAGAGAGAGAGAGAGCGGGTGAGAGTGGGAAGGAGAGAGCGAGAGATATTCGGATGGAGAGAGCAGAGGGAGAGAAAGAGAGAGAGAGCGGGTGAGAGTGGGAAGGAGAGAGCGAGAGATATTCGGATGGAGAGAGCAGAGGGAGAGAGAGAGAGAGGGTTAGAATGAGATAGATCAGGTGAAAATAGAAGAGAGAGGGTGAGTAAGAATAGGAGGGTGAGTAGGGGTGAGAATAGGAGGGAGGGTTGGGGTGAGAATAGGAGGGAGAATGTAGGGGGGGAAAGGAGAGAAAGAGAGGGCGGGTTAGAGAGGAAAAATAAAAAAAAAGCAAGAACTGAAAGAGGATACTTACTTTCAAATTTACTGACTTGTTCCGGTACTTCTAATCTTTGACGTCGTTTTGAGAAGAGGCACTGCGAAGGAATATAGAGTAACATGACGGCAAGGGAACTGATGCTGTAAACCCTCCAAGTCCACACGGCGCCCAGGACTGTGAAAAGCGAACCTGTCAACATGCTGCCAATACCCTTTCCTGAAAGAACAAGCGTCAATTTGTTAAAAATCTAAAAAAAAAATAATAAAAAAGTACTTATGTAAAATTATACAACATTTAAAACCTTAGAAATGTATCACCTTTTCTTCGTTGCTAATGCTGGTGAATAACAAGCGATGATAGTCATTATAGGGTTGTCGTTGAAGCTAGCTATGATGATTCCGAGTTCATCATAGCTAGATAAATTCTACTGAAATGAGTGTAAAAATTGAATAGCTAAAGTCTAGATGTAATCTGGAAATCTGGTCAACCAGATAAACTCAAACGGATATTCTTTCAAGCCACTGAATAGACGATGTTAATCTATGGTGACACTGCCTGAACATTAACTAAAACTCTAGACTGTAAGCTTGAAGGAACCTACACTCGGATAATGAGAGCTATACTTAATATCCCTTGGAGACAAAATCCAACTAAATCACAACTCTATGGACCCATCTTACGTAGAATGTGCTCAGCAGTACATCGCAGTCGAGTAAGACAAGAACTCGTAAGTGATCTATTGCTCTGGACACTTAAACATAGAGCAAGACCTGTTAGTCGCCCAGCAGCCACCTACAGTAACAAGCTATGACACAGAATGTTACCCTAATGACCTTCCGACTTTGATGCAGGACCGTGATGTTTGGCGTGATAGACTCATGAATGTTCGAGCTAGGTCGTCCGAATAAAAATAGCTATTTTTTAATATCTTTATTTAATGTTTGTGTTTTTAAAATTATGCTGCTTTCATCGATTTTCTCCTAAATGTTAGTATATTTGAGTAATGCTTTCAGGATGTGAGTGTGTCATGTATCATTTTAGTTTTCTATTTTAACCCCAGTGTGTCGGCTGGATGTTGCTCTAATCTAACGCGTCTCGTCTCTAGATAAAGGTGGTTAAGGGGTGGGCGATAAAGGCTACATTGAGGAAGACGCGTTATAACAGCCCCAATAAATTATCCGACAGGTTTCATTCAAATTCCTAGACGCTGTCAGTTCGCGTTACTTTAACGTGCATATTTGGGAGGTTAAGGTTTGATAAATATCTAAAATTTTAAAAACAATCTACGAAGAAATTAATTTGAAATTCAGTGGAGTTTTGGGTATTTCCTATGAAGCAGTCGATTGGAAAGATCTATAGGCAGAACATTGAAAGAGTAATCCAATTTATACTTAGTACTTTTTCCACTAAAGCTTTTATCTTATAGCTTGTTAGGTTGACATTTATTCGTTTGATTTTTGTTCATTGAGTGAACCTGTGATTGTTTTTGATTTTTGTTCATTAAGTAAACTCGTGGTTGTTTTTAGGCCCTTCTTTTATACTTTCTTATCTACACATGTCTCAACCCCCTATTTGTAACCACATACCTATATCGTCTTATATGTCTATGAGTTCCTATATACACCTACACACACATTCCCACGAAACGATACATGTATATTTCCATTTTTACATATATACCCCTGCAGAGAGAACGCACATCCACATGTCTCCATACTTGTCTCCATGTATACTTATACTTACATATATATATATATATATACATACACAAGGACATCTGCATCCCCATATATACTCGTATGCACATATATATATCTACACATCCATACGTATACACATATACACATACATACACACACCCATATATGTATACGCACACACATATGTATACACACACACACACATGCATACGCAATCTACAGACTTCTATCTACCCATATACGTTAATTTGCACTTGTATATATCTCTCTACCTACGTATTTGTCCCTATTCTCATGTCCATCTGTGCAACCCCTTATGCCTGCGTTCGAAGACTATCTCAGTATTTAATTACATTATCTCTGTCTTTACACATATAATATTATCCGATCTTTCATATTTATGGCAAAACATATAAGTACCTAACTAATTGTACATCTCCACACTCACAAAAAAAACCCCCCAAAAAGCCGGTATGTTTCTTTTTCCGTATAAAAACATATACATGTACATATCAACAGGTGTCTCAGTGTGCAAATACATTATCATGGTTGTATACATACAGTCATGTGTTAGTGTCCACTTGTGCATAGTAATATTTCTAAAAACAAAGGGAATATAAAACATTCAAAATTGCTGTTCCTATATGATTATTCCTTAGTGTACTTACTTAGGTTTAGGTTGTTTTTGTGTCGGCATTTAAACACTAGTTCATTATGTTTATTTAGCAGTATGTCCGGATCTTTATGTTTGATTATGAAGATTTTCTCCTTCAGACATAAGTTGCATCTGTCTCTGAAGTTTTGGGGAGTTACATGTATATGTTTTTATACGGAAAAAGAAACATACCGTTTTTTTTTTTTTGTGAGTGTGGAGATGTACAATTAGTTAGGTACTTATATGTTTTGCCATAAATATGAAAGATCGGATAATATTATATGTGTAAAGACAGAGATAATGTAATTAAATACTGAGATAGTCTTCGAACGCAGGCATAAGGGGTTGCACAGATGGACATGAGAATAGGGACAAATACGTAGGTAGAGAGATATATACAAGTGCAAATTAACGTATATGGGTAGATAGAAGTCTGTAGATTGCGTATGCATGTGTGTGTGTGTGTATACATATGTGTGTGCGTATACATATATGGGTGTGTGTATGTATGTGTATATGTGTATACGTATGGATGTGTAGATATATATATGTGCATACGAGTATATATGGGGATGCAGATGTCCTTGTGTATGTATATATATATATATATATGTAAGTATAAGTATACATGGAGACAAGTATGGAGACATGTGGATGTGCGTTCTCTGCAGGGGTATATATAAAAATGGAAATATACATGTATCGTTTCGTGGGAATGTGTGTAGGTGTATATAGGAACTCATAGACATATAAGACGATATAGGTATGTGGTTACAAATAGGGGTTGAGACATATGTAGATAAGAAAGTATAAAAGAAGGGCCTAAAACAACCACGAGTTTACATTTAATGAACAAAAAAATCAAAAACAATCACAGGTTCACCAATGAACAAAAAATCAAACGAATAAATGTCAACCTAACAAGCTATAAGATAAAAGCTTTAGTGGAAAAGTACTAAGTATAAATTGATTACTCTTTTCAATGTTCTGCCTATAGATCTTTCCAATCGACTGCTTCATAGGAAATACCCAAAACTCCACTGAATTTCAAATTAATTTCTTCGTAGATTGTTTTTAAAATTTTAGATATTTATCAAACCTTAACCTCCCAAATATGCACGTTAAAGTAACGCGAACTGACAGCGTCTAGAATTTGAATGAAACCTGTCGGATAATTTATTGGGGCTGTTATAACGCGTCTTCCTCAATGTAGCCTTTATCGCCCACCCCTTAACCACCTTTTATCTAGAGACGAGACGCGTTAGATTAGAGCAACATCCAGCCGACACACTGGGGTTAAAATAGAAAACTAAAATGATACATATGACACTCTCACATCCTCTCTCCCACCTCACTTCCTCACTTCGTTAACTTTGCGTATTCTTGATGAGGTCCGTAAAAAACCTGTGAATTTTCTTTTCATTCTTCATTTCAGCTTTTGGAAGTAAAGTCTGATGATCCAGAACCCTGTTAAAGGGGTTATGGTGAAATAGCTTATTACATGGAATCTTAACGTGGTCTGTCTTTTATTCAAACATATATGCTCTGAATCTTACATTGAGCTCTCTGGATATCATCCTCCTCAGGTCTATCCATACGGATTACCTAAATTTGAATAAACTATATATTTATATATATATATATTTATATTTATATATATTTATATTTATATATATTTATATTTATATATATATATATTTATATATATACATATTTATATTTATATATATATATATTTATATATATATACATATTTATATATATATATATTTATATGTATATATATTTATATATATATATATTTATATTTATATATATATATTTATATATATTTATATTTTATATATATATATTTATATATATATATATATTTATATATATATATATATATATATATATATATATATATATATATATATATATATATGTGTGTGTGTGTGTGTGTATAAGGAGGCACGGTGGAGTAATGTATAGCGGCTTGGATTGAGGAATCGAATCATCCTTGATAATGGCTAAAGGTATAGCTGAAAGCGCTCGGAAATATAAAACATTTGGACAGTTCTTACACACCTTTGTCCAGAAAAAGAAAGATCTTGTTCGAACACAAGAAAAATTAAATAAAAGCTTAACCGTATTACCTTGTCTGTCATTTTTAATGAAAGATGCATATATATATATATATATATATATATATATATATATATATAATAGGTTACAGCCACATGGCGTTGAAGCAACAGACCGTTTTCTGCAAGTATAAGTTTTTGATTATTCTGTAGACCCTATAACAGTGATGGGCAAACTGTAGTCCACGTACCACATCCGACCAGTTTGTTCTTTTCTGAATGACCTGCATAATCTCATAAGGAAAATAACATTTCTTAAAATTGTATTTCATTTTGAACTCACTTGTTTACTCACACGTTGAAGCTTTTTTACGGCTCATCTTTTGATGATCATGCGGCCCAATGACCTTTAAATTTCCTTTCAGCTAAAAATTCAACAAAGCTTATGTATGAGAAAACACCAGGGAAATATTTAAGGAAACTTTGAATGTTTGTTTCTCGATTGGCCTTTATGTGAACAAGTAAATATATACTTTCTTTTCTTTTCTGTTAGACCTTACCTATCAATCCACCTGCCTGGGGACAGAAGAGTTTTGGTAATCAAAACTATAAGATAATTCTGCAGCACCAACTTACCAGAAGTAATCATTTCTCTCGAAGTTTCCAGTAAGAAAATCGACCAAGAATAGATTAGTTCGTTTTATTCGGTTTATCAAAACCTTTGCAGGTTATTTAAAGTCAGAAAATATTTTTGGGTGCTAAGAATTCCTTTTGGGAAATAATAATGGTTTATGTGATACAAGTCTTATTAATTAACCTATAGCTGGGGGAGAAGAAGCGAATTTATATATAATAAGAATTTGCTAAACAAACATGAACTTACAATTTGTATATAAAGTAGGGGGGATCAATTCTATATTAAAATCAATATATAAACTGATCGATTCACATTGTGGCCTTGACAGTTTCAATACATTTATATTCCAGAGAATGTAAATAAAGCTAAAAATTTGCTCGCGTAGTTACTTAGTATTTGAATGATTGATTGATCCATTTTTTACGGTTTATCAACCCATGATAGGGTATTTAAAGCTAGAAAATATTCTTAGACTGTAATTTTTTTTTAATAATAATAATGTTTTAGTGATACAAGTTTTACTACTTAATTCATAGATGTGAGGGGGAAGTTGTGTATTCATACCATTCCAAATAATATTTGTGCGTAATTGAAAACAAAGAATTCGCCAGATATTGAAACTCGGCCGTCCGATTAACAATTCCGAGCCATTATCCATTACACCCCACCCGCTCATATATGGTTAAAGTACCTGAAAATTCCAGGCGGTCAACCATCAAAGTATTGAACAGGCTCGACGTTGGTTAACATTGGTGATTGTATGGGAATCAGTGTTTTAACTTGGTCTGGCCATAATCTGGCGCCTAATCACTAAGCGTAAGAGATACAAAATCCTAAAGTTTATTTATCTCTTTGAAAAAACAAAAATGTTCATCTAGTCGGAAAAAAAGTCCAAAATTCATAATTCAGCTAGTTGAAAAAACAAAAATGTCCGAAATTCATAATTCTAGTTGAATAAAAAGTCCAAAATTCATACTTCATCTAGTTGAAAAAACACAAAAGTCGAAAATTAATAATTCACATAGTTGAAAAAACACAAAAGTTCAAAATTCCTAATTCATCTAGTTGAAAAAATATGTCCAAAATTCCTAATTCATCTAGTTGAAAAAATATGTCCAAAATTCATAATTCATCTAGTTGAAAAAATATGTCCAAAATTCATAATTCATCTGGTTGAATAAATATGTCCAAAATTCATAATTCATCTAGTTGAAAAAATATGTCCAAAATTCATAATTCATCTAGTTGAAAAAAAAAAAAAAAAAAAATAACGTCCAAAAGTCATATTTCATTGGATACGTTTGGTCATTACAAGGAAAAATAATGTTTTAGTTACAATATAGGAAAACATGATTAATTTCTTCTTGGTACTTTTAGTAACGGCATTTAAATTTAAGAACATCAAATAGAAGTGATGGTTATTTTCTAAGCGTAGCTTAAATGTGGCAAAAGGCCGAAAGTATGGGACATCTAATGAGGATCAGGTTCACTTTAAAGTCGTAACTGATCTAGCGAGACAAACTTGCTGATCATTACACCACGCCGAAGAGTTCAAATCTAATACAAGCGATGTAATGTGAAGAATGGTTAGCAACTACATATGACAGTCGAAAATGCACGAATATTTTATTACTTACAAATTTGATCTTGACGTACGGATATTAATGGGTAGACATGAAAACGTATTAAAAACGAAAAGACAGACGTTGTCAGTCTAATGCAATAAAAGATGTTTGCTTAAATATGTGTTACTTAAATATACGTTATTTGAGGTTATATTTTATTATATACGTTTATTTATTTTTATAGACTATCGAAGAAGAAAATGAAACGCTATTTTGTGTCATTATACACCAATGACCTCAAACACGACCGTGCCACCAAT